AATATTCCTATGTCTTTACTTGTTCATGATGTTTTTTTTTTTTTTGTGGCTCTTATTGTTTAGTAGAATGTAGTTGTCTTGGTTAGTTCGTGTATATCTACTATTTCATAAAATGTTAGGTGATATAAAACACAAACTTATATTATAATTATCGTCACCAATACTGTTGAATAAATATTTCACCAAAAAAAAATACTGTTGAATAAATAAAATGTCAGTGTTATCTCTAGTTTTGAAAATGTGGTCTTGTTTTAATTTTGATCCGTGAAATTTGAGTCAATGCCTAAAATTTAACTTTATTTTGGTCTGATTTTTTTTTATTCCTCGGACAATATTTTTTGGCTCCTTAAACTTTGTTTTAGAGATCAAAATCACTGGTTTTAAATTTGTTTTAGGAATTAAAACAACTAATTTCAAACTTCAGAGGTCAAGATTAAGATGAAGACAAATTTCAGAAACTAAAAATAATATTAACTCGTAAATAAGATAGATGTAAAGAAACAGTAAGGCGTTTCGGAAATAACAGCACATATTAGAGCTAGAGAGAGAGGCGGCTAAAAACGGAAAAACGAACGGACCATTAATTGCCATTTACATTGAAAAGTTTTCAGTTTTCAGAAAAGCAAATAAAATAAATCCCCCCCCCCCCCCAAAGTCCGATTTGACTTATTGAGACATTGAGAGGGTATTTGGATGCCTTTAAAATAACTTTCCAGAAGCATTTTTCGGCAAATCAAAGCAATCTCCTTCATATATTTGTTTCATATACCGTAAAAGCACATCTGAAACCATAGTTTTGATCTTATCCAGACAATCCCTGAGCCGAACCAATTGGACAAATCGCCGAGTCAAAATAATCCAAATTAAATCTGGCATTCACCTGGTCAAATGTCAGTTTGACGCGTGTAACGCGTGTATCAGTCCACCCCTTTTTAGCCTTTTCTAATAAATATATTTTCATTTATTTACAAAAAGACTAAAAAAAAATACTACCTTTAGTTCTTAATATAAGAGTTAGCTGATTAATTTTAGTAGAATAAAAAAATTAATTAAATTAGTTATTTGTAATAAATAGGTATTGTTTTCTTAAAATATTGGTTAAAATAACAATTATTACAAAGACAATATTAAAAAAATAAATAAATATAAGAGACAAAATACATTAAAATTTTCTATTTAAAATCAAAATAAAAATTAAATAAATTCTTATATTAATTATAAAAAATAGCATAACGTAATAAATCCCCTGTCATAAACAAGGGCGTCACAGTTCAAAAAGAGGGTGACACATCACCTGAGTATATAAATGAAAACTCTTCCTCGGATTTAAGAATTCAAGAAAGATTCTAATAGTGAAAAGGCATCGGTAAATCTTGATACCATAGTCCTTCCAGTCCACTACTAATGCAGCGTCTGTTAAGAGAATGCAGCTCGTTTTAGCAAAGAATTTTCTATAGGCCTATAACTTATACCAAGCCTCGTGGCAAATTCTTTGAACAGTTATAATATATTCTTAATATAAAATCTTATTTAATTTTTATATTAGTTTTAAATATAAGACCTAACTTCATTTTGTTTTTGTATATTTATATATATTTTTCCTAATGTAATCCTTTTAATAATGATAATTTTAACCAATACACTTGATTACCAACAGTATTTTAGAAAAAAACAATACATATTTATTATAAATAATTAACTTAACTTATTTTCTTAATTTCTCTAGATTAGTCATCTAGTTTTTATATTTAAAACTAGAGGTGTAATTATTTGAAGTAAAGCCTTCCACAAACAAAAGAGGTAAAGATTTTCTAGCGAGAAAGTCAGCTTTTTTAGCCTAAACAATATTCTTAACCAATTTCTTATAATTTCTATTTATAAGTTATTTGTATCTTAAATGCACAAACTAATAAATACATTAAATTGATAATTTTTTCACCCGTTGTTAAAAAAAGGTATTAAAAACATTTTTTTAAAAAATGTTTCTTGTCGAAATGGTGATGATGCAGGAAGGCTCATCTTAATGTTTCTTGTTGAAATAGTCTTATCATATGGAAACTAATTAGAGGGCATGCTAATATTTCCTATAGTAGAGAAATAGAATTTTGGCAACCATAAAATTCTGTTATCATATAATAAGGATTTAAATTAGGTTCAATGTATACAACTTGGTTTTTTTTTTTTTTTAACTCCAAATCAGATTTAGAAAAATTATAAGTTTCTACACATAATGGCCATGGGAGTTCCTGCTCTGGAGAAGGAAAGATATCCAAAATGAACAAAAGCAACATAACTCAAGGGCGAGGCAGGAAACATGAAATAGTTTTTCATTTATTATATACTTTCTCCCATCCTTATCTATCCATCTATCGACCTCTAGCATGTTTTATTTAAAATATCACTCCCTCCCTCTCTTTTTTGGGGAAAAAAATAATTTTTCTTATAATAGCATTCTTAGATATAAGAAACAGATTTTCTTTATCTGAAATTTTAAATGAGTCTTTTAACTTCTACCCCTATTAAAATAAATTTCTAGTCACTATTTTTGATATCTTTTTTTACGAGTAAGAGTATACATAGAAAAACACACACACATATATATAGTTTACAAATTTATTACTTTTAATCAAAGTTAACTGGCACTGTGAATTGTGTGATTTTAGTAGTTGTTTTTTGTAACAATAGATTGGGGGGGGTAATTTTCCACCTAAAATTCGTAACTAATCATAAAAACTATTCCCCACCGGTTAGCTAGACTTCTATTTGGGGGTTGTTTGATATTTAAAAAAAATAATTTTAATCAACTTCATTAATTTATATAAAGTTTTTAATAAGGGCTTATATTTTTTCTTTTGCCAAATTAGGGGCTATATAATAAGTACTCTTCCGGTCCTTAATATAGGACCCAATTGTTGAGTTGGTTTTGGTCCTAAATATAAAACCCATTTCTCATATTTATCAATTTTCTTTAAACTACCCTCATGGATAATCCATCAACCATAATCAAGTAGAAGAGGAAGATGAAGTATTAAGAAGGATGATTATAGTATTTTAGGAAAAACGTGTCATTTCTTATAATTAACTAACCTACCTAACTTTCTTAATCTAGTTAAATTAGTTAAATGTGTATTATATTAAGGACTGGAGGAGTACTACTGCATGTCCTGGTTATAAGACCTCTACTATATTATATTAAGAATGTATTTTAATATTAATAAATACTTTTACGTCATTTATGGCAATCTAAGTGTGTGTTGGAAGCCTGTTAATGTTGATCAAAGTAATGGAAAAGTAATTTTCTACTGAAAACTCTCATCAGCAAGACTATCACCAATGGGTCAATCCGGCAGCCTTATTTCATTGACCTGCTTTAGCAAATTGCTCATTAAAACTTGAATAATAACTACATATGCTTGGAGGCTTAATGGTCACCTACCAACTACTCATAAGTGGGCGAGCAGCTTAATTTAAAAAAAAAAAATTAATGAAGGAGGATAAGTCATACATAGCTATGATTGGATATAAAACGTAAAACCCAATGGATACAAATTGGGGTTTTATATGTATAGTCAAATAAATTACACTATTTTTAGTCCTTAAGAGTATGTTAATTAATCCGGAGAAACCAGTGAAGCTAAATAAATTAATTTAAAGTCTTTATGTTTATTGTTTTTCTTCAAACTAATTTGTATAACTTATAAACTGATATATAATCTAATGACATACATAAGTATTTTAGAGGGATTATGTAATATGTGATATAATTAAATAATTTATTTAACTTTATTGATATTTTCAAATTTGTTAATTGATTTTTATATTAAATAGGTGTTTGGATGAAAATCAAATTATAATTTTAAAAGTAATTCTATAATATACAAAGTAAATATATAAGAGAAATTTTGTCTTAATTTACGTAAAAATATTCTTGCAAAGCAAACACCCCCTAAGAACCGAAAGTAATATATTTTATAACCATGCTCCGCTATTTGGAGTTTCAAGATTATTTAGCAACACATTTATTATTAATTATTATTATTAATTCTATTGAAAGCATCCATCTTCATATCTCAATCCAGGCTGCATTGCTAAGAAATTACTCATCAATCAATTGCACAATCAATTTCTGGGGAAATTATTAATATATTTTAAACAGGGAAGTTAAATATTTTTTATCTCCTCATTTACATACTAACCACTAAAATTTACATGTCATCCTTTTATGTTTATAAGTATATGAAATTTTTATTAAGAACCTAAAACAAATATAAGGAACAATGACAACAAAAAAAGCTGAAATTTTGTAAATACCGAACAAGGGATGTTAACAAAAATTTATTGTCATTTGCAAATTCAGACTTGTCAATACCAAATAAGGTTGTATTACCAAACCTGATTTGAGATTTGTAATTTCTAACTGTTTTTTTTTGGTCATTCTCCCCAAATATAATAGAAGTTTCAAATTTTGGAGGCTGTAAAAAAAAAAAAAAAAGAAGAAGAAGAGGGAAGGAAAAATTGGAATAAATCTCTTGTTGAAAATTTAATTGGCAAATGTGACTTAAGTATTTTGTATAATTGAACTTCTTTTACGTGCAATTTATCTTTCTTTATATGCAATAATCTTTCTTTATACGATGTGCAATTCAATTTTTCTTAATACAAATAAAAAATTTTGTTTGCATTACTAATCTCTTATATTCAAATAATGTTTTGTGCAAATTATCTTCTCTTTGTGTAACTTACTAATCTTTTATTATGTAATCAATTATTTTAGAAGTTATTTGCTAATTAAATTTATAACGAGAAATTTATCTTTATCCCCAATCTTCTCCAAAAACGAAAAGGGAGTTTAGGCGAAACCAAGGAACAGAAAAGTTTACCTTCGGTCAGAACTCAGGACCACGGGGCAAGTGAGCTCGCAAAGACGCCAAAACGACACCTCTACATCGTCGTTTTGGATTTGATTTCAAAAGGCTCAAGTAATCGTCGACCCTCCAGATCTGCAGATCGGAAACCTTGGTCTCTCTCGGTGTCGGACGTTACGCCGTTCCGTCCTCCCTCTCGCTGCCTCTCTCGTCGGGCTGCCGTCATTTACCGGCCGGTAAAATTGGTTTTCCTCTCTCCTAATTTCTTTGTCAAGTTTATCCATTTCTTACTTTCTGAACCGAGGAAAATCTGTGTGTCAAAAACGCAACCATAAAACGCCTCACACTTGGGAGGCCTTTGATTATATTCGACACAGGCCTTTTTTGGGCTCTATTCAATTTTGTTATTTCAAATGCTCTAGGGCCAATGGAAGAATTCGAACAGTGGAAGGAACAAGTTGCTCACTGGTGGCGTCTGGGTCTGGAGTATTTTCGTCAGGTTCCCCGGAACAGCTGTATGCTGCCGCTGCTGTATTGGCATTTACAGTCATACTACTACTGTTGAGTAAGTGGTTACATCCCTATTTTGTTGCCCTGTTCCTCATAATTACTCGTTCTTTTCCATATTGATTAGTGTGTGCTTTTCTTATATGATGTTGCTCATTTTGATTAATTTAGAACGATTACTGATTTTGCAATTGTTGTGTTTTATTTTGTAGTTCGCTTGTTTAAACGTGCAAAGTCTAATACCATTGTACTCACTGGCCTGAGTGGGAGCGGGAAAACTGTTCTGTTCTATCAGGTAAGCTCCACATGACATTCTTACATAATACCCATCATACTGGCACCTCAAGTCATTATAGTTGGCTGACATATCCGTATTCATTTGCTATGAATATTGAATACTTGACATTTATTGTTCATTTCCATTTATTTATGGATATTTTGACTATTTTCTTATATAGTTTTGATGTATTTTGTTATGCCTGTGTCAGCTTAGGGATGGCTCTACTCATCAGGGAACTGTTACATCAATGGAACGTAATGAAGGCACATTTAATCTTCATTCTGACACAACAAAGGTACAACGTTAAACTTTTGAGTGAGAGGTGCAACGTGCAATTTTTTTTGGTTGACTTTTCTAATATTCTATCTGCCAATTTACATTTTTATAATATATCGTTTAAATGAAATGTTTCCTTTGAACTTTGGGATTAAGCCAAGTGAGATTAATTCACAAGATCGTGATTTTTCTTCTCCTAAATTTGTCAACGAATTTGAATCTAAATGGGTCGTCTATAGATGCTTACTTTTCCTATCATCAATGTCCCTACTTAAAACACAAGGGCATTATTCTATATCTACTCAGTATATGTACAACGCATTACACAGATCCTTTAAATAAAATGCATCTTCACTCAACAATATCACAATTTGAAAGAAAGGGGAAAAGTGGGGAGAAATAGAGAAGACTGAGAAAATTAAGAACAGGAGCTTGGCAAGGGGCATGGCCCTTACACTTTGTAAGTCAATTTTTCAAGGATGAATTTCCATGCTTGTTTTGGTCTCTATCACGTACCTTATTGTCTATAATTATTAGAGGACATCTACTTTTTTCTTCTAAATAGTGCTAATATTGCTTTTAGATTGGAATTATAAAATGGTAAATGTTATCTTTTGTTTTGCTATGTTGATTGTGAAATCATAACACTAGAACAAATGCTGTTCTTGTTTCCTTAACAGAAGGGTAAGATAAAGCCTGTCCATCTTGTTGATGTGCCTGGGCATTCTCGTCTTCGGCCCAAACTGGATGAATACTTACCTAAAGCAGCTGGCATAGTTTTTGTGGTTGATGCTTTGGAATTCTTACCAAACTGCCGTGCTGCTTCTGAGTAAATCCCTCTGCTTGTATTGTGCATTGCTACATTGTGTGCAATTATTTTTACATCTTGTTGCTACTTTCTAGATTATCATCTTTACGAAAAGGTTTTCATCCTTAATGCCAATAGTACTGTCGAGTCAGTACTATGCAATTGGCAGTGGGACTTAAAGTTTTAAACAATTAACCTTCCACCTCTCCCCAAGTTCGTTAGGAAATTAGCATTTTAGTACCTGTATTCTAACACTTATTATTTTTTGAAGGTATCTATATGATATTTTGACTAAGGGAAGTGTTGTGAGGAAGAAGATTCCTTTGCTTATTCTCTGCAATAAGACAGACAAAGTCACTGCTCATTCCAAGGACTTTATCCGCAGACAGATGGAGAAGGAAATGTATGGCTTCAAATCCCAATTCCTTGATGCTACTCGTATAATCTTTGATGAGTTACTTTAGCAGTTAACATAAATGCGGCTATTCTATGCACTTTAGATTTTCACAAAATAAGACCAGGGTAGAATTGATTATTTTAAAAAAATAGGGGAGCAACATTGTTTATTTTTAAACTAGGAGGGATGAAATTAAACTTCGATAAAACTAGAAGGATCAGAAGCGCATTTAAGACTTAGGAGTTTGTGTGGACCATTACATGGCCATGACATCTTTTTCGTTCACTGTGGAATGTGAAATTATACCCCTTGATCGGATAGAGATTTTAGAAGGAATGTAATGCTTCTTTCGACATTAACCAAGTGCTTTTTATTGTTAGCCTTTGTAACTTCTTTCATTTATCTTGTCGTTGGGGATCAAGATTGCTTTGTTTTTATCTGAAATATATCTGATATTTGTTTAATAATCCCTGTGACTGACAGTACAGCATTACTTTTTTAATCCGTCAACTTCATTTGGCTTTTGTTATCCTTATGCAGTGATAAATTGCGGGCATCAAGAAGTGCAGTATCAGATGCCGACGTTACCAACGAGTTTACCCTTGGTGTTGCTGGGGAACCATTTTCTTTTTCCCAGTGCTATAACGAAGTTACAACTGCAGAAGCTTCTGGTTTAAATGGCGAGATATCTCAGTTGGAACAGTTTATCAGAAAATACGTGAAGCCTTAGCTGGATGTTATAGTTAATTTCAATGTATGAGAGCTGGCCTGGGTTGGTCTGCTCGGTTGTCAGAACTTGGGGAAGCCTAGCAGTTTTTCTTGTAATTGGCAAGAAAGAAGGGAAGAAGTAAAGTAGAGGGGGTCAAAATAGGGGGGACCAACTGACGGGAACTCCTGGTGTATGATTGGTTATGAATCAACTGATTTGAATTTGGATAATTTTTCTTGTCCGAGTGGGCATTTTGATCTGTTGATCCCTTGATTGTCCTCTGCTTGTTTGCTTACTGATATTTTTGGCACCCCTGTCCTATTCGTTTCTTGGGTCAGATTAGTTATCTCATCTGTTCAGCTTGATTTTCACATTTGGTGAACTTGGATTTCTTTGTACATGATGTAAAATTCTCGAAATTGGAAATAAAACCCTTCCCTCCCAACAAGAAAGGAGCCCATTAATGTGATGTGAGCTACGTCTTCTGAATCTTCTGGAGCGACACATAACTATAATTGTAGGATTGTTTTTTTGGAGCTTATGAACCATGCGGATTTCATTTTGCATGGTAAGAGGATCATTTGATCATGTGTTTCATAAATAATCAATCAACTTTTAAAATTAAACACTAACTACATTTTTTTTCCCTTTTGGGTGGGGGTGTTGTTGCGGACCGGCCATTCGAAGCTCAACTCGTTCATTATCAATTGAAGAGATCCTACCCTTTAATCTCACACACTACTTGGTTTTTAAGGTTTTTTTTTCTCCGACTTCGACATGATATATTAATATCATTTTTTTTTTGTTCTAAAAAAATCCAATCTTGTGTGCCCCAGCGGCACTTGCGCCTGTATGGAGAACGAAAAATTCAACTATATTTGTCCCCGCATAAAAGTATTTCATTATTTCGAAAGATGTATATTGAAAGATGCACAAAATATACAAAAGAACAAGAAACTATTCACGAGCTCTTAAAAAGATACATCTTAGTTTCAGAAACGAATTCAAACATCACACCTACATACATACAAATCTTCCCCTTCACAAATGCCTCTCTAGGAAGCACTATTTTGTTGGTACAACAGCTATCTCGTATCATCAAAATCTAACATCTAAAATGGCTCAGCTAGGATTATTGCCTTGTTATTAATTAATTAAAATCATATAATGTGTTATTACCGTACAAACTGGCAGGAATCAGGAAATGCTCTTGACAACCATGAGAGCTTCAACCTTATTATTAGATAAAAGGCGCCATAGCATGGAATGTGCAGTAACCCAACAGCCAAGTACCTAAGTCCAATAGGCCAAAAAAATAAGCTCAACCGAACCAAAACTTTTATAACTAAATACTGCAACATTGTGAGGATCTCTGTTTGGTTCGGTCTACCCAAGAGATTGTCTATCTTCATGTCTTGAAAGAAAAGCATGCATAATTGGCAATAACATAATGCATTGGTTTATGCTCAATCGAATCAAGAAGCTAAAGCTGAAACAGAACCAACGACATACCATAGAGGTGCATATGAGGATGATAAGTCAAGGAAAGGATAAGGCCACCTGTAACAGAGGTTAGCATATTGTAAACATCAGACTCAGGTTTCTTCATGCACAAGTTATGATCAAAACAAGGTAAGGGATGGGCTATTTTACCAAATTGAAACACAGGCATGGATGATCCACTGAAAAACAACAAATATTGTTGTCCACAGGACAAAATATGCAAACCGAAACATCGGAAATCTCTGCATAAATCAACAGAAAATAGATGTAGAATTTGAGCTCTATAGTCTGGGAAAAACATGAACTAGTAGAAAGTTAAAACTTGACTCACCAAGCGATTCAATGATGTGTCCCCAAGGAGGAAAAGAGCGTTAATGGAGTGCAAACAAACAATCAACTGAAATTGAGAAGTGCAACTATATTCAGATTAAAGAAAATGTATAAAAACAATCGACTAGAAATTGAGAATTTTTGAGTATTTCTCTGACAATATAAGAAAAATAATCAATTACTTTCATAGATATAAGTTGCAAAATGGTGAAAAGAGTGAGAAGCTATTTTAATATTCAATGAAAATGTACAAATTAGTTTGCATTTTTCAATAAATATGAAGGTTGAAAGCGAGAGCACACACTTTCTATTGACAGTTTTATCTGTTTATTAAGCATAAAACTTAACCTCCAAAAGGATAAATGATAATCCAGGCACAATAAGAAAATCATACTTACAAAGTTCATAACCTTCAAAAGGACAAATGATAATCAAGGCACAATAAGAAAATCATACTTACAAAGTTCAGGCTGTAATCTTTGGATGTCAAAAATGGATAAATGATGAACCAGAACACAAAGTCAGTGAGCACGACAGCACCTGCACAAGTCTGATCATTTGAAAGAAAAAGAAGAAAACAACAATAAATTTCCTTAGTTCAACGTAAAATAGGAGTGGACTCTTAAAAGCATTTAAAAACAAAAACACAAAATGTATAACAAAAACTTAAGCATTTTATGAATGATATGACCGCAGGCAAGATGCCTAAGAAGATGCCCTAGGAGCACGGCTGAAACAGAGGCTATTTCACAGACTGTCAGCATTTTGCAAACTTCTGATGGTTTTGGGTACTTCACCACTCAACAGGCCCAAATTCAAACCCTCTGGCTCTTTATCAAACTAAAGTCATACTCAGGGTAGTGCTTTCCTGGAAGATACTCAACATAAGCATATAGGAGAATTGCATATTTTGTGAAGGAATCTGCCTTTTCAGCCATGGAACAATAACATTATGGCACAATCTTTCTTGCCTAGTGTAAAGCAAAGACGTTTGATAGATAAGGATTCAAATTGTTTGAAAAATATATTCAGTTTCTTTTATAAGCCAAACATTTAAAAAATAGTCAGCATTGCATCTTGACTATATAAAAGATTACAAAGAATGACATGGTTTGGTTAAATTTAAAGGATAAAATTCTCACGTAATATAAAAAGTCTCCACCAGTGGGGGGGCCGCCAGGGGGGAGGTGCGGGAAGAAAAAGTTACCTGAAAAAGTATCTGAAAAATATAACCCCATAAACCAGCTGTTCTTGGAGCATAAGGTTCTTGATGGGAATGTGAACTCTTTGGAAGGTTAGACATATCTTCACCACCCCCAAGTCTAGGAGCCACATATATGCCTAGCTCTGTATCTAAATAAGAATGATTGACCGCGTCGTCAACAAATTTGTTTGGGTAAATAAAGCATCCAAATATGGACAAACATGATCCAACCTATAGGTAAAATTGAGAACAAAAGTCAGGTGAGCATATAAACTAAAATACAGACAAAAGGAAACTCCACAGATTAATTTTATAATTCAACTGATTTACTGAGACTCTAATTCAATGAGTTGAGTTAAATATTAAATACCTAAGTCCTAACTGCCCCATAAAATAGAAATACATAAAATTCTATGGGAGTTTCATTCTGCGAACTTTTGGTGTAATATAAAAGAGGTAACATGTGAACAACTTACCCCAAAGTATATAGTGACCAAAGTAAATGTCCACCTGCCATGGAGGAAAAAAAACACGATTATATCATATTAGATTTTTCCATAGCTAACATAAGCTCTCTATTGTTGACTAATAGCTATGTCCGATATAACATCAATAAGCTATTGTAAAATTTTTTTTCTGAAACTTGATCTATAGTAAAATAGGTTCAATTACACATAACCTTCCCTGAATTTTGTTTTAAGAGTAGGAAATCTGTAAACCTTTAAAATTAGATATTGAACCTCTGTAACTTCTAAATTTATACAGATAATCCTCCTTTTGTTAGTTAGTCTATTACTTGGACAATAAAATTGTGATGTGTCATGTGGTTACTTGTACATTACCCAACGTTTAAGAATGTTATCTATATAAAATATAGTTTACATGGCTTCATTGTCCTTGACTTGCCATGCTTCTGTTAATGAAATATCAGACCATTGACAGGGAGTTATAGGGGCGAATTGGAAAGTTTAGGAGATTCATTGTCAAATTTTATAGGTTGGGAGGTTGTCTGCACAAAACTCAAAGTCCAACATTGGTTTTGTATACAATTTAACCAAAATAACATAAAAGGCACACAAATAAATATAAGAAGTTTCTAACTTGCCACTTGAGGTAGTAAGAAAACAAGATACGTTCAAGTTTAACATATGGGTCGATAAAGAATAATTTCCTTTTAACGATATGACTATATCAAAGAGCATGACATATGGAAACCTTGAGAAATGAGGGTATGTTATTTCAAGCAAGGATTTTCATACTTTGTCTAGTCCATCTTATCATGGAATAGATGCTGACAAGACTGAAATATACAGTGATGTGAGATAATGTAGCTTACTGAGTGTAGAAGTAAAATATGCCTCCCCCATCAGCAGCCACATTGGCGATGATCAATGCCAAAAGTACAAGAAAAGCAATTATTCTAAAAGCAAGCAGCCAAGCAGGATGAATTCCTTTAACACACGTCTGCCATGCTTCATCCTCATATAATAGCCCAGCTTCATCTCTTTGATTTTCTCTCCTCTCAAGTCTTGATTTATTGAATCCTTCATGCCTCCAAATTAATAAAGCTGCCAGAGACATAGAGATGAAAATCCATAGTGCACAGAGGAAGAACCTCCAATTTAGCCAATAGCTTGGGTTAGTAGTATCTGCAGTCATGACGGGTTGCCAAGTATGGCTCGAGTATCCTGACAAGAAACTCATCAGTCACTTACAAATGCTCAACAAAATGTCTTCCTGGTATGATTTTTAATGCTCTATGTACTCATTTAAGCCCAGACACCCAAGGGCAAGTGTGCATGAGTAAACGATAGAGTGAAAGCTATCATTTAAGTGGAAAACTAGGGAGAGTAAGATGGCTATAATGACAGTAGAAAGAAAAATGTTCTTCCCACCAAAAAGGCAAAAGCAATAGTTGAAGTGTTTGCGCACATTTGAATGATAAAGCAGACAGGAGTTAATAGCCAGCAAGTAGTCCAAATAAATTTTGTGGAAAACTAAGAATCAGTCAAGAACATCTCAAATTCTCAACTGACTCACCCCCGGAAACCACGAAGGAAAGGAACTGACATAAACTATTTCAACGAAAGATCATAAACTTAATCAAGACCAAAGATATTTGAAGCATGACAGGAATCAAGTCGGGAACAAAACTGAGAATTTAGAAAAATCAAACTGAAAAATGCAGGGTTTTAGGAACAAAACGTGTGAGAGCTTCCCGACTAGCACATGCTAAATATGGAGTGCGTGTTCAAGCTTGTATGTCCCCCGCCACAAATGCAAAAAAGAAAACAGCTAGAATTAAAGCAGAACTTTGTTATAGCCATCCCTTGAGAACGAAAACACAATTTGTGCAGGAGACAAGGGACAAAACTAAGAGATCAGGTACAGAAAGCTTGCTCATTTATCAATCTATCCAAACTTAGATTCCTTTCTTCGAATGGGTTTCACCCAAAGTCCCAAAAGTTCGTTACCTCCGTAAAATGATTCTTAATAAGGAAACAAAAAAGAGAAGGAAAAGAAGATGAAGAACTTACTGTTACAAGTAAAACTCAGAGAAGATAGTGGTCGATGTTAAAGGAAGATGCTTTGCTTCTTCCTTTTCGTTGGCAACGAAAGAGAGAGAGGACCCAGAGGGCCAGAGAGCTGTGTGTACAGTTCAACCCGTAACGAATTTGCTTTGGGGAAAGAAGCAAATCCTTCGTTTGTTTTTGTCCAAAAAAAATAACTAAGATGCTTCCTTTGCTGATATCAGAGAAGATTCAGGATCCCAGTGAAGACGGAACCAACTTTTCGTTGAAAATATTATTCTCTAATTGCATGTCAATCTCCGTTGCGTGTTCATAACGGAGTTGATTATTATTATAATTATTATATTATTAATCAGTGATGAATTATCAATTTGGTTGTGGGTGGTAGAGTTTTTTCAGTCCGGCTGCAGTTGGCAGTTTGAGCTCATTACTATTAGCATGCAGTCGTGGAGAACCGTGCCTGCCTATGAATTTACAGGTCTTAGTCACATTAAACATCGCGCGGAGCGTTAACAAAAATAGGTTTTTTTCCCTGATGCAAAGAGTTAGCAAAATATACTTTAAAATAGAAATAACGTAATTACAAAATTAATTAAAATCGTAAAATTTATTTTATGGAGATCGTGCGAGGGAATGAATAACTAATGCCTTAAAATTCATGAATAATTAATATGGACAAAAATAAAAAAATAATATAAAAATTTTAGACAAGCTATAAAGAATTCTGTTATAGAATTTTAAGATTTGAGTTTTCTTGGCTGAAGAATTTCAAGGATATCTTTTTAAATACTAAAAATTTAATTTTAAAAATCATATTCATTCTGTTAATAATTAAAATTTAAAGATTTTTTTTTTTGGCTACACACTAGCATCCTTTTAATGCTATTGGAGACAACTTGTTCAACCCTAAACATAAACACCTCTCATAATGAAATTTAAATCATGATTCGTTATGTCATGAGAGATTAAATCTTTTTCGTAAACCTAACCCTTTGTTGGTTCAATTTTAACATTTAGTTATTCTTTTCTCTTGAACAAGGACTCAAACTTAAGAGCATTATAGGTAAAAAAAGGGGACTGAACTATATACACAGTTTTGTCATTAGTGGGTATTTTTTTACATTTCAGGCCAGCTACTGCCTACTCCCTAAACATCAACAGACCTTCTGAATGCACAAGCTCTTCAAAATTACACAGGGAGACATGCGAGTGACCCCATCAAACTCTTATTTGTCTCGTCTTATTCTGAGCTTGTCAGCAATTAGGTCAATAGGTAGTGATCCAGGTGCGGCTGATGAACCCACCACACCATTCGATTCATCCTCGTCATATTCATCATAGTTGTCATACAGATAATCTTCTTCGTCATCGTCATCCTCATTAGTGAAGCCATCACTAGGATAACTGCTGTCTTCTTCAAAGTCTGCAAGTGAGCCTTTAGTAGCAGCATCACCATCTTCACTGGAGAATATGAGTGCCGGGGAGGAGTGTTCAGTGGCCTGTGAAGCAACCTCAAATTCCTCTACCTTCTCCAAGAGAGCATCAGGATCATCAATAATCTCATCCAATAACAGTGCTTTGCTCGACTCTATCGCACGCTTCCACAGCGATGTCATTTTTGGGCTTGAAGGAATCATGTTTTTATCAAGCTTATTTTGATCATCCTCAGTCTCACCTGATCAACATGGTCAACATACCATATCATCAAATCAAAGCCCCACAATACTATTAGCCAATGATACTTCTACGTTTCACTGCATGGGGGTAATATGGTAGGAGTATGGAAACAATCACCAAACCATAGTTTGTGATAACTATTGAGGTACCTCTAGGTAATATTTTCATCATGATTTCATTAAGTCATTATTACTTGTGTCAACGGAAAAAGAGCTGCCTAATGCAAAAAAGTCAATAGAATGAAATTGTCAAACACATTTAAAGGAAAATACTGTGCCACAATATTCTCCTCAACATACCTGAATTGTCCAAGTTCCCTGCAATACCAACTTCAGGACGGCTTAAAACTGGGGGAGCTTGAGGATACATTGATTTCCAATCTTTCCCCCTCCACATTAATATCTGTTCATCATCAAAGGACAATAGCACACAAGGAACCAATTCCTGCGAACACAAGATCAAGAAACAGAATAACATTTTCATGTGTCATTACTTGAGAAACGCATAAATGAATAGGCGCAGGGGGAACGATAACAGAATTATTATGTAGTACAGGTAAAATTAGCCAGGTCGTGTATAAACAGGCCTAAAAAGAAAATTAACCTTAAGCTTGGCTCCTATTTTCTTGTAATCACTGGGTTCCAACCCCTGGCAGTCAATTTTCGCCAAAGGACTTCCTTCAAAAGCATGTTTTACTTCTTTCACGAGGGAAACGTAGACCCCATTTTTAGCTGCAATATGATTAAAGTAAATCAGTCGTTCAAATTTGACAGTCAGAAGACTCAACCTCAAATCTTGTGCTCACACAAACATGGATGACAGAGTGATCTCATAGTCCAAATGGATGTCTTACCTAATTTACATATTGGTAATAACTTTTTTCCTTTCTTACGGAATTTATCAGCTTCAGCTTTTGTTAATCCTTCTGGAGCTTCTTGGATAAGTTTTGGGTAAACTGGAGCAGCTGGCTTCCAGAGCATCAGTGGATACTGTGGACGAGTACGATAGTTGTAATTTCTCCCACGGAAAAGATAAACCACACCACCAACTCGATGAATTATTTTACCCCCAGTTTTCTCCTATGATAAATGGAAACATAATATTTGAATTAATAGCTAATAAAGAGCAGCATGAAATTATCAGTCAACACATTTGACGGGAAGCAAGAAAATGAAATATTAGAAACCAAAGCACATTGAAAGTGAGACTCAACAGATTACAAATTGCAAAGACCTTCGGATTTGATGCCATGAAAGCAGTGCATCTACTTAACTCACAAGAAATAAAAAGAAGACTTCAAATTAATATTGGTATATATATATTTTTAAAATCCCTGTCTTGATACTAAAAGCCGGTGTGAAAGGCATGGCTACAACAGCTCTTCCAAATAATGTCTCTCTTTCCAGACCACGGGTTCTATTATGCGTCATGACTGTATGCATCAAAATACAAAATCTAATGTAACTTTTAGAATTATCATTATGCTGTGCCTTGATCAACAAGTTAAACGGAAAATTCCCAGCCAAAGGCCCAGGCCTGGGTAATTTGAAACAAAACTTCAGTAAGTCAAAGTATGGTCAAATCATTGAAGAAAAGTCAGTTCTAAAAACAAAAGCAAGACCATGATTTTGAAATATTAACAAAGCTTAGAACTTGAAAAATTCATAGGAAACCAATTTAAGTCTGAACAAATGCTACCGACTTCCGAGCAAGCGGTCCATGCTTACAACCTAGCCGGATTAGACGTTAGAAAAGAGAAATAAAATACGATACCTCAAGATGATAGCAAACGTTATCCATATCCACGGTTGGGACACCTTTGCAGCGAACTTTACAAACACGGGATCGCTTCCAATGTGAATGTATCAACTCCAACATGTTATGTGTTAATCCGTCCCTTCCTACACAACCCATCAAGAAGTCATGGTATTCAGTACTCTGATAAAAAAAGCCGTGTAGGGAACCACTAGCCCAACATAATACATGACACATTGAAGAAATCACTCATTATAGTACTTGAAAATAGTACTTGATGCGGACATATGGTATAGGAAACATACAATTCAACGTATGAGAAACAACAAACACTCAGTTCAATCTAGAACTCACCGAGATTAACCTGACGGTTTTCACCTAGCATGGGTTTAACAAGCATTCTTATTTCCCACTTCTTCAAGGGCTCCCCAAGTATCTCCTCCCTCGTCTTCCCCTCCTGCGGATACTTCCCAGGTGGAAACGGCCCTGGCATTTCAACATGCTTCACTCCTTTCGTTCCCGGCGGGGGAGGATTGAAAGAATCAAAAAGTGGGATTTTCTTCTTCGAGCTCTTCAAGGGCGCTTTACCAGTCCAAGGCCTCGGCATTGTAGGCGGCGCGAACGGCAAGAACGCGGGCTCCCGAATTGCCAGCGGCTTTACCTTCGGCGTCTCCGAATAACTAAACTGGAATTCAAATGGGGCTCCGGGAAGAAGGTAGGACACTCCGGACTCGCCAATGACGACGGAGCGATCGCCGTCAGATGTAATAACGCCATCTTTGATGGGTTTGTAGTACTTGGAATTGCGATGGTGCTTCAGGGCAGGATTCGAAGTGGGTTTTGAGGGTTCAGGAGGGGGTTTTTGGGACTTGAGGGATCTGCGAGGAGGTGGGTACTTGGGAATTGGGATCGGAGGAGAAGGAGTGGCGGTGTTGACGGCGGGGTCGGAGGGTGGTGGCGTCGAAGGTAAGGACGAGAAGAGGTTGCGTCCAGGTAGCGATGCTACAATCACCATGGAAGTTTTGGAAAAGATAGACTTTAGTTAAAGCTAGTACTTACCAATATTGAAGCTGCCACTGAAATGGATAGAAATTTTAGGCGAAGAGAGGGAAGATAGATTTCAGGTTTTTCAGTTGCTG